AGCCGTCACTGGGTGAGTCAAAATGGTTTAATTTAATGCCTAAAACTAATAATGCTAGTAGGATGTATGGTACTATTAAAATACATAAGCCAGGTTATCCCATAAGACCAATAGTAGATTTTAGAAATACCCCTACATATGAATTATCAAAACATTTAGCTCTAATATTATGTCCCATTAGAAATCGTTCAAATTCTAGACTAACTAATTCATATGAAATGAAAAATAAACTAAATGACATACAACTAGATAATGATGAAACAATGGTTAGTTTTGATATAACCAGTCTTTATACTAATATACCAGTCAATATGGCCTTAGAAGCAGTTAAAAAAGAACTAACTGCGGATACTGAACTCAATCATAGGACAAAGCTGTCCATTGAAGAAATTATTTTAGGGGTTCAGCTATGCCTCACATCTACTATCTTTAGATTCCAAGGCAAAATATATAGACAAACTGAAGGTGTAGCAATGGGATCACCAATATCCCCTATCGTAGCAGATATATTTATGGATAGCTGGGAAAATATGGCACTTAATACGTTTAATCCTACTCCAAAAATATGGTGGAGATATGTGGATGACACTTTCACAGTGTTAAAAACAGAACATATCTCTAGCTTCTTGACACATATTAACTCACTAGTAGAGGGGATAAAATTCACATTTGAATCGGAAGATGAACAAGGAGAGTTGGCTATGCTAGATTGTAAAATAAAACGAATAGAAGAAGGTAAACTTCACACTAGTGTGTATAGAAAACCAACGCATTCTAATAGATATTTAGATTTTAATTCGTCGCATCCGTTAACTGTTAAGGTAGGCTTAGTTAAGTGTCTAACAAACCGAGCCATAGCACTAAGTAGCACAAAAAAAGACCTAAACGACGAGATAAAACAGATAGAAGAAGCGTTGGTGTTGAATAATTATCCTTTAAAATTCATTAGGAAGATAACTAAAGGCCAAAAACAAAATAAAAATAAAAATAATTGTGGAACTAGTAATGATAACATAAATAAGAGAGAATATAAGTCATCTACAGTTATACCATATAAGGAGGGGACATCTGAGACCCTACGTAGGATTTTAAATAAAGCAGGAATTAGGGTGGCATTTAAACCTACAAATTCACTCAGGGACAAGCTCTGTAGGTTGAAGGACCCTGTGGACCCAATTAGACAAAATAATATAATTTACAAAATACCCTGCAATGACTGTGAGGTCAACTACATAGGTCAAACTAGTAGGTCAGGAATAGTCAGATTGTCAGAACATAAGAATTTAGCTAAGATAAGAATGGTTGACCCAGAAAAGATAAGTAATTTAGAAAAAAGCTCGGCAATTGCAATGCATGCATTAACACACAACCACACAATAGGGTGGGAGAGGGTTAAAATTCTAAAAAGTAATCTAGGTAGGTGGAGAGAGAGGTTGATTACTGAATCTTTGTTCATCGAATCTACACCCAACACGTGCAATAGGAATGAATCATCACTAATACCCGAAATATGGAAAATAACACTACCAATCAAATCAAGTGGAAATCAAGTGAAAAATAATGGAACTATATAAATGAATTTAGGAAGTCGTGTGATTACCTTGATATGATTATGAGCAATAAATTGTGCTCGAAACGTCATCAGTAAATATTACTGTATAACACTGTGAGACTCTATCAAAATAAAATTTACCCATAATGGAATTACACTCTACCACAGTGCCCAAGTTTTATTCTTATATCAATTCTATAAGGCGGAGTGTGCTGAGAACCACCAAATATACTTGTGTTTTGAGAGGATTTCTTCGTATCAAGTGTGGGTTTGTTGACACACTTACTTTCAACAGGCTTATTGAATACAAAGTATCCTTCCCCATCATTAGACTCAACCCTACGAAATTTGTTCATCCTGGTAAGGTTACCACGTTTGGGTGAAAATTTCTTAGAACAACTTGCAGAAGTTCCAGCTATTTTAACATCTTTCGATGTGGCTTTATTTACAGGGGTACTGGTATCTAAATCAGTTCCTATTTCCACTGGCAAGCGTAGTTGTTGTTTAGTTTGCTGGATGCTACTGTCAGCACTAGGTAACTGTTGCTGTGCACGATCCTTTTTTGGTAAATCTTAGCTAGAGGAGGTGATCAGATTTTTACTACGCATTATTCTGAATTGATACGGTGTTTTATCCTGAGCTATGATTACAGACTTATAACTGCTATTCAGTCTTAAGTGATCTTGAAATTCAGTAAACTTACTAGCATCAAGAGAATAACTGAACTTAAAAATGATGGGACAGTTAGCCTGGGTTGACTTTTCCCGAAGTCTTTTGCATCCACATGGCACACTAGCCATGCCGCCACAATCCGGAATTTTGTTTTTTAAAGTTTTCAGAGGCATTGAGTCTGTGATGTTGTAAACTATAGCCTGATGAGAACAGGCTATACGCTTCATCATCTCCACAGCCAAGCAGTCAATCAGATTGTCAGATTTATTTAGGTTGTCCGGAGACATTTTAGAATGCTTTTTAACAGGCAGGCTATTGGGTCTAAATCCGCAAGGCTGTTTTAATTTACATCCAGTAGAGACTTAACTTGGTCAACATTAGAATGGTTCTCCGCGATATCTGAGATTGGCAGTGTCACACTATCAAACTGACATAATTTTTCCTGAAGTTCACTTACTTGCCCCTGGATATCTTTCACAAGGCGGTTTAATTTACAGGAATCAGAGTTCTCTAATAGAACATCTTTCACCTGTATCACAGGAATGAGAACTGCACTTGAACCCTTTTGTGAGCTAGTAGTTGATACTGTATTACAAGGCGGTAATGCAGTTATAACTGAAGTTAAGCCACTATCTAAAACAACTGTGTTTCTACAAACACATTTCTTAGAAATTTGGACCATAATGTTAATGATTAAATATCAATAAGCTATAAATGAATATCCGAGGGAACACATCCAAAGATGTCACCAGTTTTGAGCTTAGAGATGTTTTAGTTCTCATGTTTATCGTAACCTAAACAGATATTATTAAAATGAAACTCTAAAAGTGCAACTTCTACCGCAGATATGGTTTAACAGAACTTGTTTTAATTCAAAACCATGACTATGTAACATTGATAAGACTACATACCCTGAAAGCCTGCTTAAATCACTGGGCTACCTAATTTTTCCATTCATAAAAATGTATCTTATCGACCCTACTTCATATTGTTTGAATTATTCAATTACATCTCTAGATTACAATTTCTACTATCACCTGCGTTTAAATAGGATTCAAAATACTACTGTTGATATTTTCGAGAAAATAGAGAAAAGGCATAGCAGGTTTTAAGAGCGTGATTCGGAAAAAACAGTATTACTTGGGATTGTATGTGGTCGATTATTAATTTTTTATCTAAAAATTCTACACACGGTTTAAACACTTTGCAATAGAATATGCTGATAATTCCTCAGTGTTTTATTTATTCCTTTACGTCCCCAGTGGAACCTAGGGCTTCAAGCTAGAGGCTTGAATTTTCAGTAGCAGTGGTGTTTATTTTTACGGAATGGGATTGCTGGCCTCATGCCCAACCTTCCCTCTTCACCAGTCTTAATACTGGCTTAGCGAGGTTTAGGAGTGAGTCGGCCGGGGATCGAACCTCAAACCACATGCGCAGTATGTAATAAAGTATTTTCCAGAAAAAGTTATTATTTTTATATTAAGTCCAATGTTAGAAGTTAGTAAAGTAGACACTTTGATTAGTGACTTATTTGTTTAAATTCAACAAGGATGTCTTCATTAATTTGTTTTATCCAGTATACATATAGGTAAACTTGAGGAGAAACCTAAATCAGACTTAATGACATGTGTAATATCCCTTATCGATGCAAATCCTTAAGTTTTTGAGCACCGTATCTTTCAGTTCCGAAACAATGTAATCTATCAGGTTAAACATTGGAGTATCCACACTTTTTGGAAAATAAAGCACAGGTTGATCATCACTTCAAATGTTTTAAAACTGTCCATCTACAGTCATCTTACTTTGATTTATGTTTATACTACAATGTTTTAAATGCAGATCACTACTGCTTTATTATTTATTCCTTAAGATTCCGAGTAGAATATTGGGCTTCGACAGTCCATCTCCATTTCATCTCATTCTTCGCAATCCTTAGTAGCTTGCTCCACGATTGTCCATGAGCTACAACTTTCGCATCACACGATCTCCTCCATGTCATCTTCGCACCGACGACCAACCAATCGCTTACCATTTAGGTTCCACTAGAGAGCCTAGTATATGATTTCCCTTGACGGTTCCTTCACATTATGCCCGACCCACCACTTCTTTCGGCATATTTGTTAGGCAATATGTTCTTGGTTGATTCGTTGCCTGACAGAGTTTCTCGTTGCTAATCGTTTCTAGCCATATGTTCTTCACTACAAAGCAAACACAGCTGTTGACAAAAGTCTCAAGACCACTCAAAATGCCTTTTGTGACACCCCAAGTCTTTGAATCATATAGCACAATTCACTTAACATTAGTGTTGAAATTCCAAACCTTGTTCTTTATGCTTACTGTAGTTGATTTCGGCACTGATTTCATATTATTGGAGATCTGTCTTGTCTTTCGATCATAGATTTTTGAATTTTGAAGTTACTGTCCGCACTAATACAATACAAAATAGTTTTTATGAACCGTCATTTCCATTATACACATTTTATAAATGTGTAATCTAAACCTTCAAGTTTTAGAAACGTAACTGGAAAACACGCGTTACTAGTAAGTCTTGAAACTGATGTCATAAAGTTTCGTTATGAAAATCCTTTATGCTCAGATTATGTCGGTACAAGTCAACCTATAATCTTTTGTTTGAAGTCTATCCTATATATTTCACACAGTAACGACTGAACAGTAAAACCATTCTTCCTATGAAAAGTGTATTTTCAACGGGCAGTATAGGTATGCAGAATTGCGACCAGTATCACATATATATTTATATAGAATAAAAAATCGACTTCTCAGTTGTACTAAAGCAACCAAGCTTTTTCAGATATAAAATAAGAAATATCAAAAACATGTGAAAAGCTAAACAAATAAGTTCATATGTGTTAGTTTTCCATATGGTGTAGTGCATAGAAAGCTCCTTTAATTTCTAACAGAGCTCCTGGTGGTCCAGCTTCTATCTTACGTCCATCTTGTAAAACTACAATTAAATCAGAATTGACAACAGTTGATAATCGGTGAGCAACAACTAGCGATGTTCTTGAACCCATAGCAGCATCAAGAGCTTCTTGAACAATACGCTCACTCTCGTTGTCTAATGCAGAGGTGGCTTCGTCCAGGAGAAGTAAGGCAGGTTTGCGAACCAATGCTCTTGCTATGGCTATTCTTTGCTTCTGCCCACCAGAAAGCTTTGATCCACGTTGCCCAACAAGTGTTTCATATTGCTTTCAAAAATATGAGAAGGGATTTTAAAGTCATTAAGCTCAGAAAATAACCTTTACAAATCATATAAACAGCATATCTGGGAAGCAAATACTATTTGATAAAATGTATTAAATACGCAGAGAAGAATTTGGTACAGACCAGTAAAATAAGAGCTTCTGAAGTCCTGTTTTATTAATATTACAACTCCATGTATCCTAAACTACAATTCAGTAGATTTACTCATAGATTATCAGTGAATATGCAAGAGAATCCGATTGCAGCAAATTATGAAATTGTGTAATCAATCTAAAATAGCTTCCCATAATTCATAGCTTGGAAGAAAAATGGATTTGGCAGTCATGCAAATTCAAAGCAGATTTCTTACTAACCAACATCAGTTAGAGGACTTTCGAAATCCATGCAATATAGAACAACGGTCCTACTTAGCAATAAAATAAAAAATGCCCCCTCTTTATCTCTCCTAATCCTTTACATTCTGAATAGAACATGGAGCTTCAGGCTTGATCTTTCAGGTTTATTTTTGAGAGTTGGGGTTGCTATAGTCACATTCAACCTTACCTCTTTACCGAGCTTATTATCAGCTAAGAGAGGTTAATGAGTGCGTCAGCTGTTTCTTCCTAGCTTGGTACTCTTCATCAGTACATGTCATTGGGGTTCAAAGCCAAGACCTTCAGGTTATAAAGCGATTCAGTCACTGGGACCCAAAGCCCTCTTCGTAGCTGCAATTATTTCGACAGGCGCTTAACTTTATTGGTTTTACAATTGTATTTCCAAAACATTATCTGAGATTTAAAGCCACTTCATGTGCAATACCATTTTTGACTTACACTTGGTAGTGTTGATATAAATTCATGAATATTGGCTGCACGTGCTGCTTCGATAATTTCATCCATTGTTACTTCTCGAGTATTATCTCCATATGCAATATTTTCCCTTATTGTCAGATCAAATAAAGTTGGTTCTTGAGATACAAGACCAATCTGTTGTCTAACCCAACTTGGTGAAAGATTTCTAATATTTAAATCGTCAAAGAATATCCCACTATCAGGACCATGATATGATGGATCATAGAATCTTAATACCAACTGTAATAAAGTTGACTTTCCGCATCCAGAATGTCCAACCAAAGCTACTGTTTGACCAGGTTGAACAGTATGTGAGAAATTCTGTACAAAATATTAAATAAATCTTAATTATTAAACATCAGAGAATTTATGTGTACAGCGCATGATTTAACAATTAGATAACTTTAACAATTCTGGTGAAAACTGAGAAATAAAAAATTTGACATTTTTGTCAAAAATACAGCCATGTAATATTATCGGTAGCATCATTATAAAGGTTTGTTAGCTGTATGAATTTTAATTGATTAAAGCGATAGTTAGTATCGCTAAACCAAAACGACGTTCACTTTCCTTATATACAACGACTGATGTTAAAAACAGCAGAGTTATTTCTATCTCAGTCGAAAGTGAATACAGGAATATGAATTTCCCAATATGAATGACTTTTTAAAAGAAATACGTAAATTTTCACATATATTTCACTTCTGTATAGCCTGCGCCAGCGCCAATCACCATCAATGGGAGGGATTTGAAAGAGGTTACTTCATTCACTTATCTAGGGAGCATTGTCTCAACTACAGGAGGAACCGACGAGGATGTCAAATCGAGAATCGGAAAGGCGAGAAGCACATTTATCAACCTGAAACCAATCTGGAAATCTTCTTCACTCAGCATCAACAACAAAATTTGGATTTTCAATGCAAACGTCAAGTCAGTCACTTCTTCTATACGGATCAGAAACTTGGCGGGTCACAAAGAATATTTCCAACAGGTTGCAGACCTTTATCAACAACTGTCTTCGCTCTATACTCAAGATCAGATGGCCGGAAAGAATCACCAACAAGAAACTATGAGAACAAACAAAACAAGAACCAATTGCCCAACAAATATGCAGGAGAAAGTGGAGATGGATTGGACACTCGCTGAGGAGGCCGCTGGATGACATCGCGCGTCAGGCCAGTGCTCGAGTGGAACCCGAAAGGGAAGCGGCGAGTGGGACGTCCAAGGGTGACATGGAGGAGATCGTGTGAGGAGGAGATGAAACAATATGGAATAACATGGATGCAAGTGAAAAGTACAGCAGAAGACAGAAGCAAGTGGAGGCGTGCAGTTGAAGCCCTATGTTCCACTAGGAACCCAAGGGAACAATAATAATAATAATATAGCCTGATACGTCTTATTCATATCAGAAATACAATAAGTTCTTTTAAAAAGTATATTTCTAAACTCACCTTTAAAACTGGTCTTTCAGATCGGTTAGAATATTTGAAATAAACACGTTTGAATGAAACTTTCCCTTTGAACGGAGTCGTTGGAATAATCCCTGAGTTAATTGGAATATGTGGTTGTCTGTCTAGAAGGGCTAAAATATTTTCTGCAGCAACTTTGGCCGATTTAGCATCTAGAAATACTGACGCTGAACGGCCAAGAGACTGTGCACTCAAAGTGATAGTTGCAAAGACCCTTGTTAAGCAAAGTGATAAGGGGAGAAACGTTATTAAATTATATTTATCAGAGTATTTGGTATTCTAGAATTATTAAATATCACAGGAACAAAGAAATACCATATTTTAACCCGACTTTTGTCGCATTTTGATAAGGTGTAGGTACTGTGTATGCCACTTTTTTGTATGTTTGTATGGATTTTCAAAGGTGATATCAGATCAATCAATGCTTCTATATGATTGAGAGACTAGAACAGTGCGCCACGGAAAACATTTCAACAGCCTATTATAGACTTTTAAGTAACAGATGACTACACCGGATACTCGAGAACAGATTGCTGATTAAAAATAACCAACTGTTGGAAACTGACAATAAACCGGTCAACAGTATGTTGCCCAGCATATATTCCGAAGGGAGTGAAGATGAATAGGACACAAACTGGGGATACCACTGACTAACATCACGTTTTAGGCATTCGAGTGGAATCCAAATAAGAAATGACGAGATTTTCGTTGGTCCGAGGGTAACATGGAAGAGATGAAAGCTTATGAGCATACTTGGAGTCAGCTAAAGTCAACTTCAAAAAGCAGAACAAAATGGAGATGTACTGCTGAACCCTGTGTTTCACTTGGAACCTAATGAAATAATGATAATAATGCGTTTATGTACGAAACCCTACAATGAATGCACAACGTTTTTGCCGTTTGTACATGCGTGTTTGCCAGACATTTAAATTCATCTTAGTCCATCTATCTGATATATTAAAAACTTTAAGTAGTGCTAGTTGGATAACACTTTGAATACAACTAATCTCCCGTATTGTTGTGAGGTTAACTCACAACTCCTGATGTTTATTTTGTAGTTTTATGGTGTAATTAGATTTCATTTTAACTGGTTCTAGGAAAGTCAATTTTGTACTGTTGGTGTGGTATTTTTCTAGTTACATGCATTCACCGTCGATTCCATCAACACAAATTTAGTAATCAAACTATTCATTTATAATAGAACACAGTCTGTTAACTAGAATTGTGCAGTATTAGTGTCAAATACTTGGATTACGGGAAACTAGTGCGCTAGAGAATAAATATCAAGAGTTGTGAAATGATCACTTTAATAAGAATACTCAAGATAAATTTTCGTCGTAGTGTTATTCAGTTTAGAAAATCTTCAGTCTGTGAAATAAACAAATGAACACTACTCAGTTTGTATGCTTAATCTAACACTTAGTTGTGAGTAATATACAACAATATAAATAATTTTTGTTAGGGCTATTTGTGATTCTGTGTATAGCCGTATTCAGGGAGTTAACCTGGGGTTCTAGTGGAAAGCCGTGACCAGTAAGGTACAGCAGGTTGAAGGTGAGGTAGTAACTCACCGAAGAAGACATTGTGGAGTGGTCGCATTATGTCATAATTTGGCAGAAGTTAGAATTCATGGGCCATTGGATCGAGTCCTACTGGATGAATGGTCTACGAGTTCGTCTGGTAACCAGAAGGTTCTGGGTTCCAACCCTGGTGCTTATGTTTATGTTTGATTGCAGCTTGATTCCACACCGTATTTTTCGGTACAGGTATGGAATTTTCAGCATGCGATATCGGTAGCCCAAATTTTGCATGCCGATCATAGATATCAGGTGTGCGTCGGCAGGGGATTGAAACCCGAACTATGTGCATTGTCGGCGAGAGTCCTAACCACTGTGCCACCGTCGCTGAGTGCGTACTGTGAAGAGTCACAAACTAGGACGAAGCAGCTGTCCAGTCCTCCGTGCAGGTTTTCCAGTGGTTCTATAACATTTATTTTTATTTTTGTTTTGAACTAATTAATCTTTAATACTGAAAAGATCATTCTACAAACCTGTGGGTTGGTAGAGCATCAATTTTTAGTATATTAGTTTCTTATAGCTTTAGCATGTTATTTCCGCGTGAGAAATACTTATAGATGAAGACACGTTTTTAGAATTTTGTAGTATATTTTAATTAAAAACTGATTCAGTAAGTCCATAGTCTACTTGTAACGCATACAGAGAGTGAGAGAATCGTATCCCAGCACTTGAAAGAAATATGTTACACAATATTGTTAACCAAAGTCCAAAATATCATCACTACTTCAAAATCAAAGATTTCTGCACTCACACACACAATCATTTTTTATACCTTCTTGCTTCTCACTTGTAAATATTTATTTTATAAGTAAAGATTATGTCAACTTGTACTAGAAATACTATTATCCTTAGTCCTTTCTTAATTTGATATGAAAATCACATTTTATTATTAATAGATTCACCAGATGACTTCCAATTCTATCTATGTACTAATATTCACTTAATATGATTTTTACAAATCACGGTGATTTCTGGTTTAAAAAAATAATCACAGAAACAATCCATTTCCTCTACAAATATATGCATGACAGCAACCTGAGCATCAAGTTGCCAACCTCATGTCTAAATGAATTGTTGTTAAGATTCACCTTCAGTAATGATATCTAAAGGCAGAAAGATGGTGGGTCTATAGTCTCTTCGCTTGATCCGCTTTTCTCAGTCTGGGAAACAGAAGCATTAAGTCGATAGTCGGCAGATTATTGCTCTATAAAGTATACGTTATAATACGTCACAACGATTCTCATTGAATGTCTTTTATAGGTATTTACCAATTGTTACCCTTTAGTTGAATTCACAATATAGGTAGAAAATGAATCGGAGATTACATTTCTGGATTTAGCATGACCAATCACCAAGTTTTTATTCTCGGATACCTGTGAGTTATAAAAACCTCTCATAATTTCACTTTCTTGCCATATTAAAAAGCCTGCAACATTAACTGTTTACAAGGAGAATTCTCGCCGTCCAAAACGTTTCTGGATGAAAATGGATACCTTGTATGGTACAGAGGGAAGAAAATCAGACCAAAACCAAAAGAGAAGAGTGTAGTTCAGTGCAATAGAAATTGCTTTATATGAATCTGAATTTCAGAGGAGACCTAGTGGCAGGTATTCTAGAGGGAAGAATCTGTAGTTCCCTAAGGAAGACTTTCTTTTCATCAGTGTTAAGCATCGTACTCTCTATCCACCCATGGCTTTTAGGTGATTTGAAGGACAAACTCAAGCATATGACTACCATAATGTGGACAGATCATGTGCGTCGGTGGCATAGCGGGTAGGACGCTCGCCGACCATGCACATGGTCCGGGGTTCAATCCCCGGCCGGCGCACTCCTTTACCTCGCTAAGTCAGAAATAATGCTGGTGAAGAGGAAAGGTTGGCCATGAGGCTAGCAACCCCATCCCGTAAAATAAACACTGCTAAAGAAACTTCAAGCCCCTAGCTTGAAGTCCTATGTTCCACTGGGGAACGTGAAGGAAAAAAAGCCAAGTCTACAAATACGTCATTTGGGAATCGAATCAAGACTATGAGGTCAACTGACGTGCATCCTACTGCTGAACCACCGACGCACCTCTGTTACTAGAATAATATTTACAAATATGCTCACGTCATCAAGTTCACACATAATGTTTATATATCGGGTGACTAGAAATTACAATTTAGTTAAAATTATACTCAAAAGCAATGAAGAAATATGTTTACCGGAATACAGCCAGTAGCGTTATTGTATTTGTTGAAACCAAATTTGCACCAAGTGCGAATGCGGCGGCATATGAAAACATTTGTACAGACTCAGTAAGCGCATACATCAGTGCATATAAAATAGACTTCTTCAAATTCTTCCTAAAATACAAATGAAAGAATGAATTAAATTTAAAATTAGAAATTTGATCTTTTCTTAGAGGGTAACAAATAGCTGTACCGTCAAGAAGGCTTGAAAGGTAGAGATATTGATCTTAAGGCGCTGAATTTCTGTACACATATTTCAAGTTTAAAATGAAATGGATGATCTCTATTGCCACTGAAATCATTTCTGAGATTATTTTCTACAAGACTAGCATAAACCAAGACTGTGTTAACATTTAGAAAATACCTGTAAGACGTGGCTTTTTGTACTGTCGGAGGCTGGTAAACACGGAAGGCTTTCATTCTGATTCTAGAAGTAGCTGTCAAGTCCTTGTAGTTTTCATCTTAATTCCTCTGAGCTCCGTGGTAAGAGACTTTCTTTATCATTATAATAATTCGGACATACATAATTACTGTGACACAGGTAAACCTGAAATTTTGGCCATATTTTACAAATACAAACGATATCCTCATAATGAGGAAATATATAACTGTAAAAGAGATGTTCAGCAAAGAGTTACGCTTCTCAGAAATATCATTCCCAAGCTGTACACTTGCATGAATATATATATATATATATAAATTCTCTTAGCAGAATAGGGTATAATTCTAAGGAAATGTCGTTAGAATTATAAATATTATATAGCAGATGCTTAATATAGAAAACGTTAACCGGGTAAAAACTAAACTAAAAATAAATAAGCAAACTGAGTGACGTAATATAGTCAAAAAGATTGAGGAGAATTACAATATACATGGTTGTTTTTTATGTCTGTGTACATTGAATTTCTCACACGAAAATAGAATTAGTAATTTTAAGGCGGAGTTACGTAATACAAAAGGCGTTCATGTACACCCTGAGTACAACTCTTTCATCAAATTAAAATTTAATTGAACTAGATTCAGGCCAGCCACAGAGATAATAAGAGGTAGAAGTTTGATAGCAGTTTTTTTATTCCTTCACGTTCCCAGTGGAACATAGGGCTTCAAGCTAGAGGCTTGAAGTTTCTGTAGCAGTGTTTTTATTTTTTACAGGATGGGGTTTCTAGCCTCATGCCCAACCTTTCCTCTTCACCAGCTTTTAGTTCTGGCTTAGCGAGGTAAAGGAGTGCACCAGCGGGGGATCGAACCCCGGACCATGTGCATGGTCGGCGAGCGTCCTAACCGCTATGCCACTGACGCACTTGAGAGCAGTTAGAGGGGAGAAAATAATACAATTAAAATCGTGAATCTGGTATGAAAAGAAATCAGGTCCATTGTATGTTAATAAAATTTCAAATATTTTTCCTGAAAAATATGTTTGAGTGGCTTATTCATGACAGTAACGATTATACAAATAAGACAGAGGTTTCAGTAAAACGATAACTAATCAAGTGTGGTATGACCTATAGTGTTATCCAGTAATATTAACTGATGACGTTTTGAGCACAAAATATTGCTCACAATCATATCAAATAAAATCTTATCTATAATGGAGTTATACTCTACCACAGTGGTCAGGCTTTATACTTATATCAGTGGTATGACCTAATTTCAAACTATGAAATATACTTAACCAATGAATAAGAAGTGCAGGGTAGGAATACGCGTCACTCCCGAATTTCTGTATATTTGTGAAGCATATAATTAAGTACTTATTTTACGATTACTCCCTTAGGTTCCAAGTGGAACATAAGGTTTCAATAACACATCTCTATTTTGTTCCATTTTTGATGTCCTCTTTAACCGGCCACAGGATTGCTACTAATCTCTCGTCTCCTCCATGTCACCCTCTTTCCGATAACCCACTCATTGTTTCCCAATTGAATTCCACCTGAACGATGGCCTAGCGCGCAATGTCATTCGACGGTCTCCTCAGCGTATGCCTAATCCATCTCCATTTGTTGAGGCATTGGCTCATGGCTAGTTTGTCCCACTGCACAGTTTCCTGCTGCCAATTCATTCTGGCTGACCAACTGGCCATTTGATCTTCAGTATGGAGCCAGTGAAGGCAGCTGTCGATTAGTGTCCATAACTTGTTGAAAATCCTTATCGTGACACGCAATAGAAGTTTCTGACCTATATAGAAGAAGTAACTGAATCCTTTTTTGTGTTTGAAAATCCGAATCTTGTTCTATATGCTGGCTGAGTGAGGGTAGAAGATTTCCAAACTGGTTCCAGATTGATATAGGTGTATCTTGCCTTTCCGATTCTGCTTGGCTTTGACATCTTCATCCGTCCAAAGTGCCTGTGGTTGAAACTTTGCTTCGTAACCGGATAAGTGAAGGGAGTAACCTCTGTCAAGCTGATACTTTTGATAGAGATTGATGCTGGTTGTTGCTGCTGTTGGTGCGTGATTGGTTATCTTCATCACTTCCATCTTCTCTATGTTCTTCTGGAGTCCTGTCTTCACTGCATCGCTTTTTCTGTCAGTTTGTTGGTTTTCGCTTGTAAACAATGGCTAGTGCCAAGTGACTCTTTGTATTGCTGTGCAATCGCTAAAGTCATATCATTAAGCTTCAATGAATGAATTGAAGAAAATGTGAAAAAATGTAGCCGAATAGTAGTTGAGTGACATTTAGCTATTTAGATCAAACACTGGTAAACACTATTAAGTAAAACAAAACATTCAAATACTTCATATTGTCTGAAATGTTTTCAGCACATAATTATCTCTTTATACAAGTTTGCAACAAGTATCTACTTGTGAAATAGAATTTAAAAATGTGTCTGTAGCACTTAATTTCTCAAAAGAATTAGTCTGAATTCGGTGTTTGACTTTATTGAGTGTCTTTTCAAATATATATTTCGTCACAATCAAAATTAATCAAAAAGAATTACTGCTGAATAAGTTAACGTTTACTTTTATATTATGCATTGAATAACTACGAAGTCCTTTCTCTTCACTTTTAGAGAACTGGATAAATAAACAAGTAGTTATAGCCGTTGGTACTGACAATAAATTCTTTCGAGTATTTCAGTTAGCATGTTTTTCAGCATTACGTAACATTATATAATAAATCATCTACATAGTCGAAGGAAGTTGGAAAAAATTCTGAATACCTGAGTCTGTAGTATACATTCCAGCTACACAAACATGTACAAAGTGCGCCAACTATGTGACAGCAAGCATTCCATTTTATCTATTTCTTTATTTCATATATTTTAAATGCTCAGTTAGCAGTTTTGTGCGTTTATTTAGAGATTAAAATAATAACTGTTGAATATTAGTACACATTAATGCAAAAATTATGAAAAGAGACTTATTTTTCAAACTACAAGAGAAGGAAATGAAAGAAAGGGCTTATAAAGTAACCAAACATTGGTGCTTATTGTAGCCTTGTCAGTATCCAAATAACAACGAGTAATACATCATTTAGATATCTGATGTTTTATTGTGAAGTGGAAAGTTTTTTTTATGCGAATGGATGGCTTGGATGGCTTCAGAGTTCTCCCTGGTCTGTGACTGTAAATACTGCTTCATAGTCATATCTAAACTTTAGGCTCCAAATTTTAACAAATAAAATTGTATTTTCATGATTTTATGCTGCTATATACAGTCTATTGCATCAAGAATGTTTCAGTTTTACCTGTGTCTAGATGAGATCCATCTTTAAACTAAGGAGTAATTGGTGTGTCTTATATCATCACATCAAATGAGTAGCTTTATTGCTTATCCCCGCTAATTGTACCATCATAGTCCGTTATTAAGGTGGCTTAATGACAAGATATATTTTATTTATGCCTTTTTAACTTCTACCAACTCGTGATTTAGCGCAACCACCAACCAGTGTCATAGGCGGGACATCCATCCTCACACTTGACTCGATGGATGTCCCGCCGATAACATTGGTTGGTGGCGGTGCTAAATCACGAAATGGTGGAAGTTAGAATTCATGGGCCATGGAATTGGGTCCCTGTGGTTGAATGGTATACGAGCTCGCCGTGTAACCGGAAGGCTCTGGGTTCGAACCCTGCAATATGGGAGCATACTGCCGATGAGTTCCAAACTAGGGGGACGAAGCGGCTGTCCAGTACTCCATGCTGGTTTTCAATGGTTCTCTAACTGATATCAATCCGTTGTCAAACTCATAAAAATAAATCTAATCCTTACAAAACAACTCTAGAAAAGTATGCTTTTTAAGTGAAATGTTGCATTAGAAAATTTGTTTTCTGGATTACATACTGTCAGTGACATTATATTCTTGAAGTGCGTCACATTTACTGCACTTTTATCAGAAAATCTCAGGCTTAGTGTTGATATTTGAGCAATGTAACTCATTGAAGAATGAAATAACTTCAAAATTTAGATGTGTATTTTTGAACTTTCTTGGAATCATGCTGGTTTTCTATTTACTTAAACATCTCAATACCCAGCGGATAAAGCAGGTGACGCCACTTCAAAAAGGAGATATGCCATATATATTTTCTATTATTGATTATAGTTTGATTCCATACAGTATTTTGGTAGAATTATGGAATTCTCAGCATGTGGTATCAGTAGTCCAAATTTAGCAGGCCAACCATTGATATTAGGTCGAATCCCGGACCATGTACATGGTCGGCGAGCGTCCTAACCACTGTGCCACTGACGCACATATAATCGCCCCCTCAAATAAATTATTAATAAGATTTATACATATTTAAGTTTAATTCCATAATGGATTCCATTATGGAATTATACTCCACCCCAGTAACCAAGTTTTATTTATTTAATTCGGTATTAATTTGATAACTTTGTGTCATATCTGATTTCCTTTACTTCACTGGAATAGGAAGTATAACTGAAAATTAATCTTTGACTAACGCTCATCAAAAACTCAAACAAAAATCATTGAAATTAATGATACGAATCACACACAATTTATAAAAACCAAATTGTAAGTAAGTAATGAAGCTAGATGGTGTAGTATAGTGAAAAGAAGTGAGTGAAATTCAATTAAGACGGAGAAGTAGATGGAGAAATTCGATATGAAGAATTGTATTAGGATAGTAAAAGAGATAAGTAATTTTCATAACATAAATTTATAAATATTTTTATATACCTAGTCCATTACATATCTGATAACCCAGCGAACTTATATATATAATATTCAGAATTCAGGCTTTGAAAATGTGAAGTGGAATAGCTTTTGTACTGTGCAAAAGTTTCGGATGAACACAATGTCTGTGTAATAATAATAATAATAGTAATAATACCCATTAGTGCAAACTCTACATGGTAGGCTGTTGTTATGTTGGTATCATGAACCGAAATTCTGAGATTACAACTACTATTTTTATCAGGTTAAGTTTCACATGCAAGCAACTAGTAAATATCGTGACAAAACCACTTTCAGTCATTAAATCAAAAATCATTTATTCTTGTAATTGAGTTTAACAAAAAATAATAATAAATAATAATATGCTTGTACATGCACAGTAAGTAAACAATACTCTAATAAGCAAAATGTTACAAACTTTTTTATAAATTATTATTATAGCTTGATTCCACACAGTGTTTTGGTACAAGTATGCAATTTTCAGCATGTGATATCGGTAGCCCAAATTTACCAGGCCAACCATTGATATTAGGTGTGCGTCAGTCGGGGATCGAACCCTGGACTATATGCATGGTCGGCGAGCGTCCTAACTGCTGTGCAACCGACGTACATTCATATAATGGTACACCTATTGGCTGGGTATTTGTTTTCAGGAGAACCGAGAACACCTATCCCTGCCTCTTGTGAGATAAGACCGGCATGCAGTATCATCCTGTGGCGCAACAAGATTAAGTGAACTTTATGCATGCATTTATTTCAGTTTGCTGTGAAAAGTACTTGAAGTAAATCTAGCAGTGAGTGTTCTTCATATTAAAACAGAAATAATTTACTTGCGTTTTGTGTGGCAAAGATGGCGTTAAACGTAAAACATACAACTTACTATATAAGTAGCAAAATACCTGTGTCTTTTATCCTCTTTTATTTGAAATTTACAGTAACATTACTTTAATTATCTTATAATTCTGGTTATTAACATTATCATCATAATTAATTTACACTTTTTGTACACTTCTGACTTTATGGTCACTGCCAATACAAAAATGTAGCTATTATCAAATTTGGTAACCTATATCCTGTAATATATATATATAATTTTGTTATTGTAGAGTAATTAAAAGATGCAATATTGTAACATATGATTAGAATTCCACACTGTATCATACGTATTGTTTCTGAATAAAGCGAATCGTAATTACTTTTTTTTAGATATCATCTTGATTTGGTAGCAGTGAATTAACATGATCACATCGAAATCCAGCAGTGTAAATGAAGAATGCATGCTACTATACTTAGCACAATTAAGTCAAGTTTTTGGAATAATTTTCGAGAGCTTTAACGTATTTCAAGACGTGAATTTCCATTCAAATTGACAGTGGATCAGACTAACTGGTTTCAGCGTAGAACTTTGCACCGATATGCAGCAGTTCGAATTGCCACTCTCCCTCCATGTAGCATACAAAGGGGGAGAAGAGGGTTAAGAGAGATTCAAAAGAGAGACAGAGATAATAAACAGAATTGTAAGGCGAAAATAATAGTGATATGGAAGAACGATAGAATTTTATTCGATTTGATAAATCACAAAGAATGAATGCATCTGCGCTAGCCATTGAGAACGATTAGCACCAATTGTCTCCAGTCTTCATTGGTTCTTACCATCCAGAAGACCCCAACCATGAAGTCTACACCTTCCTACATGGCTTAAACTAACTGTTGTAGATTTCATTGACTGATGCCATGTTTTGGTTTAACCACCACTAGTTTTCTCTTTTCCAACCTGAACCCAAATCAGCTAACATTGCCCTTCGAGAAAGGTGATGGCTAGGCATACGTAACACCTGTTCCGACCATCTCAATCGATGTAACTTCACAACGTCGTCGATTGATTTCCTCTCCTTACCTAGCACTTGAGACCTAACCTCAGTATTGCTCACCCTACTATACCACTTCACACGGCAGATGGAAAGCAGACACCTATGATCAAAGACAGATCTGCTTTTCGTATCTTCCACTTTCAATAACCACGTCTCGCTCACAGCCATAAAGGAGGACAGAGCAAACTGCTGTGCAGCACACACGTCATTTAGTCAGCAGCCAGGTATCACATCTACTAAGCCAAAGATGGTGTAAGTTGGCATATACGAGCCTTCTGTATCCATGCTGATATTTTGTCTGCAATCAACCCGCTGGGTCTGATGCAACAATAATAAATTCTTAATAAATGAATATCCCTTATGATACACATTCATTAAGTTATCAGTGAGTCTTCAGTCGAAATTTACTTGCTAACCTTTTTATTTCAAAACACTTCTACAGACTAGATTCAAATCAAATTTAACACAAAATTGGAACAATAATCCATTCTTTGTAAAAAAAGAAGAACTAAATCTTATCTAAAAGCGATACTTACTTATAGTTCTCAACTGCATAAGATTTAAAAATTTCATAAAAGTAATCTTCCAGTGTAAGTGTAGTGAGTGTACGATTTGATCCTATGGCTTCTTGTGCTGTTCTCATTGAATTGTTGGCCTTTTTGTCGTCACCTTTTCCTGACATTGCCTGCATCTGAATATGATATAAAAGAGAGATTGTTCTAAAGGTTATAGTTACTGACAATTCAGGGATAATATTACAAACGAGTATATATAAGTAAATGTTTTGGGTCTTACGCAGTAGAGTCAATCAACGTTGGGAAGTGGTTCATAGTGAGTATTACATTAGGTCCACTCTTAAACTTTCATGTACATTTCCTTTTTTGTGATTGTTAATAAATGTTTTAAACTAAGACGTTAAATTTCTAATTAAAGAATGGGTTATTCACCTTACTCATTTTTTGTTTTACATGGCATAAATGTAAACTTAAATAAAGTAACTGAGTTGTATTTAATCATGTATATTTCAGTGTGGACTATGTCGTCAAATTGGTATTTATTGCTATGACATTGTCCTGTGTATGACCGTGTTACCTTGACTACTGTAGAAAAAATGAACGGAAGACGTCTAAATTATAAAACTACCTTCCAACAGACTTTTAATTATAAATGAATTTATAAATAAAATAAAATAACTCTAGTCATATTTTTCAGGATAAACTCTAAAGCCATTGGTCATAGACTGTAAATTATCAAGTAAAGCCAATTTTTTATATGAAGCAGAATTGTGTTGAAGATTCTGATAATTAACTTTTCAGGTAGGTAGTAGATATTATTAACAATTTGAATATTACTCCCTTAGGCTCTGAGTGGAACATACGGCCTCAACAACACATCTTCACTTTGTGTTATTTTCTGCTGTCCTCTTTAGCCGGGACAACGATCGAACATAAGCTGTCATCTCTTCCCCACACGATCTCCACCAGGTCACCCTAGGACGACCCATTCGTCGCTACCCATTCGGATTCCACCTGAGCAATGACCCACATTGCGTGCAATATCATTCGACAGTCTCCTCAACGTATGCCCGATGCATCTCCATTCTATCCCACATATTTGGCGAGTAGTTGGAACTTGGTTGGTTTACTGCTAGAGTTTCTTCGCGCTTACTGTCTCTACCTGGCCATTTGATCTTCAGTATGAGGCCAACAAAAGCAGCTGTTGACAAAAGTCTTCAGTGGCCTGTTGGAAATGCTTCTCATGACACACAGTGCATGTTTCTGACACGTATAAAAGAACCGACTGATTTTACATTGGTGTTAAAAATCCGAATTTTGTTGTTTGTGCTGGTTGATTGAGTGCAGAAGATTTCCAAACTGGTTTCAGGTTGATGAAGGCGTATCTCGCTTTTCCAATTCTGTCTGGCTTTGACATCTTCGTCCGTTCCGACGGCCTGTGGTTGAAACCGTGATTCCTAGCTGGATAAGTGAAGGAAGTGACCTTTGTCAAGCTGCTCTTGTTGACAGTGATTGGTGCTGGTTGTTGTTGCTGTTGGGCAACGTTGGTTATCTTCATCACCTCCATCTTCTCTATGTTCTTCTGGAGTCCTGTTTTCACTGCCTGTGACTTCTGCTCATTTGTTGGTTTTCACCTGGAAGTCTTCGGGTTTGTGTGACACCAAAATAAATCATCCAGGAAGTCCGTATTCCCTAGAGATTTTTATCGGTTCAACTTATTCCTGTATTATCGTTCTCAACGCACTGTCTGACGATTAATCCACTCCACCACAATTAAGAATATCATCAGTGATAATAGACAGCCTCCTTTAGTTTACTATTGTATTCATTTCAAACGACGCACTGACTTTTCTGTTGTGGATAACCTGACACGTGGCACTGTCATATATCAAGCCGTTGAATGAGGTTGATAAAGACTTGGGCACTGCATGCTGTAGTTTTGCAATAGTTCCCGAATTACTTCTCGGTCAACTCTGTCTGTCGAAGGTCTTTTCCAAGTCAATGAATTTGAGGTGTAGGTCTGATTGCCATTCTACGCTACGCTCTGTGATGACTATGCGTAGAAATGCAATTTGATCAGCACACGATTTGCCTTTCCTGAATCCAGCTAGTTGTGGCGTGCTGCCGGAGTTTCACATCCAGTGCATCTTTTAGTGTCTCTAGGATGACGTGATTTAGTATTTTACTTGGCACGGACAAGAGCATTATTCCATGCCAGCCACAGAGAGCAATGAGACGAGAAGTGTTCGCATCATTGTAATTTCCTCCTTCATTGACTGAGTAAAATATGCAATCATCATTCACTTATGATGGATTATTTATGAGAACATTTTTACATCTCATCTTGTTGCTTAAGTAAAAAAAAGACAACAACAGTAAATTAGTTTCACAGTTATTTAAAGAAAATAGTATGTATTACCTGAAAAATTCCTCCAATAACAATTAATGGATAGAAGGCCAGTATAAGAAGTGTCAACTGCCAACTGTAAATAAATGCAATGACAAGTGACATAATTATCAAAGATAGCGATTCGACAAAAAATCCCATTTGTGAACCTGAAATCATTGCCACTCTTGATGCATCTGTAGCAAGTTTTGCAGTTAATGCTCCTGCCTGGTTCTCAGGTTCATCAAACCATGCAATCTCCTACAAGAATAAAGGAAAGATTCAGTGAACTAAGATATGAAAGAAATTTCACAATGCATATTATAAAGATTATATTATCTTACTTGATGTAACATTGCATCAAAAACCATGGAACGTATACGCCTGATTAGTATACCACCTGATTTCCCGAATAGAAATCCCTATGTAAAATGTAATGGTAAAAAAGTATAGTAGTAAGGTTTCTGTCTTTCATATTAATTAAAACATTTATTTTTCAATTATTTCACCTCAGTGTAGATTTTTCACGAACTAATATCAATTATATAATCACTCAAAACTCAGGAGCACTCAACTTCTTGCATTTTCGAGATTGGTGCGGTTTAGCTGTAGGCCACAGCAATCCAACACTTAACGAATTCTAGGTTATAATATGAATTCGGTACTTCTGAATTCTCAATCGTCTTCTGAATGATGTTAGTTCACGACGAAACCTTTATTGAAATGAATCAAATCATGGAAAACTAAAATTATTAAGCAGTCACGTGATATTTGTTCACCTATTACTTAGAAGTTGTGCAATATTTATTATTATTGTTATTATTTACCAATCAAACTAGACATACAAATGCAGATAGAACAATCAGACTTTCGTCTTATCCCTACATTTTAATAACTCTTTTTACTTTATCGTCGAAAACCGATAAATACCTACACATAGCATTTGGTTAACATTCACCGAAGTGAGCATTAGTCAAAGCAGATTATTACTGCTTAGCAGGTTAACCCAAGAACTCAATAACCTGTTCTGATTTCAACTTCTAATGTGATCATGGATGCCCACTGAGGAAAAGTCCTAAACTAGGACGCAACGGCTGTCCAGTATTCCCTGGTTTTCATTCTTTCTCAAGGTGATTTCAGTCCGTGGTCAAAAGTGAAACAAATCATGTCCCTACAAATTAATTCTTGAGAATATTCTCCTTAAAAATCGTATTCAGTAAGCAACAAAATGTAACGATCCTCCTTTTCAAAAGGGAAGCTAATGTTCGACTAATTATCAACATTCACTGTTTCAGTTTGCTTCTGGAATTTCAACTGTTTTAAATAAAAACTTGAAATTATTCTGTCTCCATGCCTCCATTCCGGCTCATCTACATAAATAATCGTGGTTTTCTTTACGTCTGGTGACATTTCCCACCATTTTTTAGGAAGAATTATTTTTAGTTCATTATGATGCAAAATGTTGTCACGTGCAAAGAAAAACAGAAGGTGAACTGATTTCGTCTTACCTGGCCTAGATTAGCTGCAAACCGCAAAACGCCAAGTAGTACCATCATTCCACTAATAAGACTAATACGACTATACATCAGATCTGGATTCGATCTCAAAGTAAATATCTGAAAAAAATGTTATAAATTAAATATTATTAATAAAAAATTCATAAAATTAGCATCTAAAAAATCCATCTCTTCTCTCTGTCTCTCTGTCTGTCGCTTCCTCTCACTAGAAGATCGAATAGACAATTATAAGTGAATATCTAGTTTTTGACAGACATTTAAAAGTAGAGACAGTAGACGTTATGATTAGCCCTGAAAAGCAACATCTAATTTTATTGATTTATCATGGAATGTGCAATCGATCTAAACAATTCTGTAAGCAAATGAACATGAACGGAATCACTGAACAGATGTTAATATGTACGAGTAACACCGAATAAAATAAATGATTCGTTTTCAACACACATAGTAATTTATAAATCTTAATGTATGAAAATTATAAGATCAAATGTGAAGCCCTGCTTCAACTCCTGTAGTAGTCTCGTACTTAGAGTACCAGATAATAGGAATAAGAGATGGATTTGGTTAGTTACAGGACACTTTACACCACTGTTTCGAAATCATTCTTGTTATACTTATTATGTCACACCACAAATTCTGAAGAAAACATTTTGACTGAACTGAAGAATTTCTCTTCGGATCAAGCAGTTGGTGTTGATCAGTTAACTAACCATGATTAACTATGTTTTAAACATATAACAAGATTAATAACAGTAGAATGAATAAAAATAAAATTTAATGGGTTATAATTTTAAATGTTGGTCTGTAGGAATTTAATTTGTTTCAAGATTAAGCACAAACTGACTTTAATTAAAGAGCCATCGAAAACTAGAGAGTAGTGAACAGTTGTTTTGTCCTAGTTTGCGGGTATTCAACATCACGCACACGTGACCCCACCAGGGATCAAAACCATGGTCTTCGGCTCACGAGGTGACCCCTTATGCCATTGAGCCGTTGTGATGGAATCTGGTGGCCGGTCCGTGAATCCAAACTTTGCCCGATTCGCAGTACATAGTGCAAGCATTTACTCACTGGACCAATGGTATAGACACTCACCTTGTAACCTGTAGATCATGGTTTCGACCTCTAGCGGGATCATGGGTGTGTACTACTGAAGAGTCACAAAGGAGGACGTAACAGCTATTGAGCCCATATTGGTTTTCAGTGGTACTCCAACAAAAGCCAGTTTGTGACTAGTACTAAGTGGTTACCAGTAAAGTAATACGGGGTATTTTGAAGTCTTATGTCACCTTTTGTATCACAAAGAAAAATACCGAACTTCGATGAGAATGGTTATGAGGCAAAGTAAACCGACAAAGAGCATCAAACATGAATACATGGCAGAAATTTCATGTCACGTTTAGTGGCACTCATGTAGTAAACAAGTGAACAGAAGCATTGCAGCATCTTGATAGAACAGGTAGTAAGACTGAGTTCGTAAAGTATTTTAACATAAAAATATATGCTCTGTAAACAGTGACAGAAATTTTCTGCCTTCGTGTGAAGTAAACGAGTCACATAACGGTGGGTAAGTAAAATTCTATCTGTTAAATATCTAAATTCCGAATGTCAGAATTTCGAATGGTTGATTAGTTTCAAAGAGATGAAATAACCTTCTCAACATTCTAGATTTACATTTAATACACAAGTGCTGTGAAACAAACAGCCTAGGTCTAACTCTCCTCCGCTAGTCTTTTGCTAGTTAACAGCAAATATGAAATTTCTTTTTCCTCCCCAATATAATCCATAAACAGTGTTAGTGACTATAACTTACAAGTGGATGACTCTACTGATGAATGCAAACAAGAAACAATGAGCTGACAGTTGGTTTATTTGATGTAATAATAATAATATTAATGTCTAATATCAGTGGTCGACCATACATTTACTATTATGATGGTGATTCATTAGTAGAATGGTCACCAAACACGCGGAAAATCCGGGTTCGATTTCCAGCAGATGCACTCCAACTGCTTAATCTTGTCTAGTATACTAGCCGGTAGTAGTCCCGGAGAAGAAGGGGGAATGGAGTGGACCTAGCCACCCCTCCTCCGTGTAATTAATACCATCACTATCGAAACGTACAGTTTGAAGTCCTATGCCCCACTTAGAACGAAAGCAATAAAAAAAGAAACCAAAAAACACGTTCACTAACCGAATAGTCCTCTGTAAGTATTTTTAGAAACTTTGAGTTATTTTGTGTGAGATGCTGTTTCATCTTAAGCGATTGTGTTTTCAGATACAATAAGCAACAGAATTTTAGGATAGTATTTGGAAGAAGCACAACATCTTTATTAAGAATAACTACTTGATTACAAACGTTATACGAGTGGAGATACATGAAAATGGAAGCACAAAATGTCAAAAGAAAGCTGACTATGTAATACAATCAAACGCCACCACCCCCACCGTCATTTGTAGACGAAGTACTATTCGGTTT